TTTCTTTGCGTGAACATTTGGGCGGTGTTATGCAAATCTTCCCACACAGTGATGTAGACATGTGGGGGCGTGTTAGAACGAGCCGTTTAAGGTAGGCGTGGCTGACTCTTAACTTTTATAAAGAATATCTCTTTGGATTTGAGACTTTAGTCTTTGCAACTTTACAGATCTTCTTTATGCACCAAGAGCTTGTAACACTCCAAAGAGAAAGGAAAAATTGAAATCGCATCATATGACCCCTTTAAAGTAAAGATCATGTTCCATAAAGATATTTTGTAAATTCCTGTAAATATATCAAAACTTAAGTTTTTATTAGTAATATGCATTGCTAAGAACTTCATTTGGACAACTTTAAAGGCAATTATCTCAATATTGTGATTTTTTTTGCACCCTCAGATTCCAGATTTTCAAATAGTTTTATCTCGGCCAAATATTGTCCTATCCTAACAAACCACACATCAATGAAAGCTTATTTATTCAGCTTTCAGATGATGTATAAATCTCAATTTTAAAAAATTTACCCTAATGACTGGTTTTGTGCTCCAGGGTCACATTTGAGCTCTCTAGGTGTATCAGAACTCCTTAATTCCTGAATCCATATAATGTTCCTGATCGGCTGGGAACAGAGTGAGATTGGGTTTCCTCTGGTAGTGAACAGGTGCTGGAGGTTAGAGGTGACACTGTGGCCTTCTGACGGGACCGTGGTGTCGTATGGGACAGCTGAAGCCCTGTCCCCAACCTTTACAGCACTTAAAGCCTGAACTTTATAATTCTGAATGTTAAAATGGACTGCTTCCTAATGCTTATATTCATTTTTTTTGAGTAAAGGATAATTTAACCCCTTTGATTCTCTACTTTTACTTTTTTAGAGACTAAACGAAAACAAATATCTGTTGACTTTTCAGTGTAAGCAAATATAGGCTATGAAACCATAGTGTGTACTTTAGAGAGGCTGTTAATAGTAGGGGTGTGTTCTGTGTGCTCAGATACATTTGCATTCCACATCATTATTGCAAATCATATTCAACCCTGTTCATCCAACAGAACTGAAGAGTATTCAATTTAGAGTCTTCAGAAGATGAGCTGCATATAAATCCAACACAAACTCCACCACACTTTGTTCTCATTTCCATGTGATGCTGATAAAGTGACAAATTCTCACGTGGCACTCATGTGTTTCATGCATCTGTCAGTCATATCTGATTACACTGAGTTTTTGAGTGTTATGCAAATCTTCCCACATCGTGACGTAGACATGTGGGGGCGTGTTAGAACGAGCCGTTTTAGGTAGGCGTGGCTGACTCTTAACTTTTATAAAGAATATCTCTTTGGATTTGAGACTTTAGTCTTTGCAACTTTACAGATCTTCTTTATGCACCAAGAGCTTGTAACACTCCAAAGAGAAAGGAAAAATTGAAATCGCATCATATGACCCCTTTAAAGTAAAGATCATGTTCCATAAAGATATTTTGTAAATTCCTGTAAATATATCAAAACTTAAGTTTTTATTAGTAATATGCATTGCTAAGAACTTCATTTGGACAACTTTAAAGGCAATTATCTCAATATTGTGATTTTTTTTGCACCCTCAGATTCCAGATTTTCAAATAGTTTTATCTCGGCCAAATATTGTCCTATCCTAACAAACCACACATCAATGAAAGCTTATTTATTCAGCTTTCAGATGATGTATAAATCTCAATTTTAAAAAAATTTACCCTAATGACTGGTTTTGTGCTCCAGGGTCACATTTGAGCTCTCTAGGTGTATCAGAACTCCTTAATTCCTTAATCCATATAATGTTCCTGATCGGCTGGGAACAGAGTGAGATTGGGTTTCCTCTGGTAGTGAACAGGTGCTGGAGGTTAGAGGTGACACTGTGGCCTTCTGACGGGACCGTGGTGTCGTATGGGACAGCTGAAGCCCTGTCCCCAACCTTTACAGCACTTAAAGCCTGAACTTTATAATTCTGAATGTTAAAATGGACTGCTTCCTAATGCTTATATTCATTTTTTTTGAGTAAAGGATAATTTAACCCCTTTGATTCTCTACTTTTACTTTTTTAGAGACTAAACGAAAACAAATATCTGTTGACTTTTCAGTGTAAGCAAATATAGGCTATGAAACCATAGTGTGTACTTTAGAGAGGCTGTTAATAGTAGGGGTGTGTTCTGTGTGCTCAGATACATTTGCATTCCACATCATTATTGCAAATAAAAAGAGAGAGCGGGAGATCCCTTATTGCTCTTTCTAGGTTTTCTAGGTCAAGAAAATGTTATTAAAATTAACATTCTAGACATACAGCTAATCATATTTTAAATTATACAAGTTCAAAAGTTTGGGGTCAGTAAGATTTTTCAGTGTTTTGAAGAAGTCTCTTTTGCTCACCAAGGCTGCATTCATTTGAGGAAAAATACAGTAAAACCGTAATATTGCGAAATGTTATTACAATTAAAAAACCTGTTTTTTTTACGTGAATATATTTTCAAATGTAATTTAATTCTCCGCATCATTACTCCAGTCTTCAGTGTCACACGATTTTTCAGAAATCATTTTAATATGCTGATTTGCAGGAATATGATTATTATGTTGAAAACAGTTGTGCTGCTTCATCTTTTTGTGGAAACCTTTTTTTTAGGATTCTTTGATAAATAGAAAGTCCAAAAGAACATTTATTTGAAATTGGAATCTTTTGTAACATTATTTCTTTACTGTCACTTTTGATCAATTTAATACATTCTTATTGAATAAATGTAATATTTTCTTTCAAAAATATATTACTTACCCCCAAACCTTTGAATGGTTGTAAAATTATAATAATCATCACAATAATTAGGAATAATTATAAATTATAATGAAACACATTAAAACATAAATTCTAAACATAAATTAAATTCTACAATTCTACTTTAATGAATGCAAATAAAACAATTTTTGTCTGGTCCCGTACGCACTGCCAGCATGCATCTGTGCTGATTATGTCAGGTTGTTCCTGGTTGTGATGTCCCAGCTGCCCAGAAGTTATTTTCATGGCGTTGGAGCGACGTGAAAGAGGATATTTGAGTTTCCCGGAACTGACACACTGTCTGTGTGTTTCCATGGTGAATAAAACAAAAACATTTGTCCGTTTGTGCTGCGTATGGCATATCCTTACCACTCATTCCTACCAGATACACTCAGAAAATTGGTAATTGCTGTGGTCATTAAGAAGTATCTGTTCAGTTTTTCCAGAAGGCATTAGAGACAATCAGTGCAACTCTACCCCTCTCACTTTCTGCTTCATGTATCTGCATCTGTCTGTGTCTATCCCTGCCTTACTCTCGCTCTCAAATCACACACTGCATGCGTTCTTGGTTCCTTCGAAAGGTTAGCAGTAAAGCGCAGAGCTTTATTTAGTAGACTCTCTCATAGGAAACCAAAATTCAGCAGCTATATTGAGAATTCTTCAACCGTTCTTTCAGGCGGTTGCGTCATGTCACTGTCCTGCCAGCAGTGCTTGTGAAACGTTCCTACCAGATACACTCAGAAAATTGGTAATTGCTGTGGTCATTAAGAAGTATCTGTTCAGTTTTTCCAGAAGGCATTAGAGACAATCAGTGCAACTCTACCCCTCTCACTTTCTGCTTCATGTATCTGCATCTGTCTGTGTCTATCCCTGCCTTACTCTCGCTCTCAAATCACACACTGCATGCGTTCTTGGTTCCTTCGAAAGGTTAGCAGTAAAGCGCAGGGCTTTATTTAGTAGACTCTCTCATAGGAAACCAAAATTCAGCAGCTATATTGAGATTGAGATATATAGAGCTCTAGATGAATTCTTCAACCGTTCTTTCAGGCGGTTGCGTCATGTCACTGTCCTGCCAGCAGTGCTTGTGAAACCTGCTTAGTGTAATGCTGTGTGTGTGAGCAGTCTTTTAACATCTTTAAACACTGTAATTAAAGATGTATGGAAATATATAAATGTGTCATTATGCAAAACATTTACCAGCTGCTCATTAGTTTAAAATAAGCTAAACCGTACCATACTGTATGTTTTGTGTTTGCACTTATAATAACTTTAACAATGGACACAACATGCTTTTTTCCACATTGGAGTCCCTGCTGTCTCATGATTTCTTCCTGTGCAGTATCCGCGCTGTGATTCATCAGTTAAGTCAGTTATGCGTATTCAAATGTTCTATGTCAACCTTTTTATCTCGTATCCAAAGGACTTGCTCTAAGGAATGTTTTGAGGAATTCAAGTGTCTGTAGGGCAAAAGGAGTGTCCCGTCACATGATATGAAGTGTGTAAACCTTGCTTGCCCGAGGTGGGTGTTAATAACCGTATCTTTCACCTATTGGATGACATACATGAAAGGTGTCTCCTTTTCTCTAACATAGCTTCTCATTGACCAATCTACTCTCTCTCTCTCCATGTGAGATGGTCCAACACACCCGGAGGTGTGTAACTTGTGCTTTGCACAGCTGTAGGTGGTTCCTCCTAACCCTTTCTGTGAGACATAGGTGTGCTAAACAGGCACATTTTTTCTCTATTCTTAGAGTTCTATTTTTGCTCGCTGCACTTTTGCTGATTATCTTTGCAAGTATTTACTTCACAACTGTTGAGAGTCTGCCGACCGTGCAGTTTAATTCTAACAGTTTCTTCCTTGCTCGACTGAGGTGGGAGGAGCCGATGGGATCATAGGACTATCCCTCTTTCTCTCTTTTACACACACCCCCTCTCATTGCAGCTCTGCCAGTCCGGACTATGCTCACTTCCAAGGAAGGCTGAGTAAAGGAGAGCACAGTTTTCCTTTTCTGAGTTTTTCCTTTGCCTATGAGAAAGTTTGAGAAGAAAGAAGAAACTCTTTTTTTATTAGGAGGGAAGTTAGCTAAACAACAGCGGACAAACGCAGAATAGCAGGTCGTATTTATTTTTAGCGTCTTTTTTGATTGAATTGGTAGCACGTGGCAGCAGGCTCTGCCACAGGACTGAGGTCACTCAGTGATTTGTTCTTCTTTGGCAAAGCTGTTCCTGTTTATTCAGACGCTGCACGACTAAGGAAGCACAATGGTTGCTGGAATGTTAATGCCCTTGGACAACCTGAAGGCCATCTATGAGCATCTGTTTCGGGATGGCGTCATGGTGGCCAAGAAAGACAAGCGGCCTCAGACCAAACACCCTGAGATTCCTGGCGTGGATAACCTTCAGGTGATAAGAGCCATGGGCTCACTGAAGTCCAGGGGGTATGTCAGGGAGACCTTTGCATGGAGGCATTACTACTGGTACCTCACTAACGAAGGGATTGTCTACTTGCGTGATTACCTGCATTTGCCTCCTGAAATCGTTCCCACACCGCTGCAGAGAGTACGACGGCCAGCTGCCACTCTGGCCATCGCCCGCAGGGCAGAACAGGTTCAAGTGGTTCAGGGTCCAACATCTTATGTTCCCAAACCTGGCAGGATGGGTGCAGAAAAGCAAGAGGCTTTACTGGATCGACAGGAGTATCGTCGCAAAATAGCGAGAATGGATGAGGCTGAAATGACTGAATCCAATGAGAGAACACCAAGATTTAGAGGTCGTCCAATGGCTAGCGCTCAGATCAGACCCAGGGAATCCAAAGAGCAGCCCATGCTTTCTGATACTCGCGATTACACCAAAGAGATGGAACCAAGTGTTAGGAGGAAGGTTGCTATGCATTTGGTCTCCAAAATACCTCCTATTGAAACGCACCATGCCAAGCCAGTTGAACAGGAAAAGATGGTGGAACTCAAGGAATGCACCAAGACGGCATTTGTTCAGAAAACACAAAAGGTTTATGTGAGCCAAGATGTGCCAACCATTTCTTCAAACGTGGGCGCAACAGCAGTGGAATCCTCTTTGTTTTCTGAAGCAGTCAAAGAAAAGCCCAAAGAAGAAGTGTCTATAAAGGTCTCACGTGAAACAACATCCACAGCAGCTGGAGATAGAAAAACGGCTAAGGATGCTCGTCATCCTACCCCCTTAAAACCGAAGGTGGAGAAAAGACAGAAAACTACTGTGACGAAAAATGTGCAGGATGTGCCTGCTGTTTCATCAGCAATGGAAACCTCTGTATTTTCGGTCCATACTGAAGCAGTCAAAGAAAAGCCCAAGGAAGAGGTATTTGTCAAGGTCTTCCAGCAAACCACATCCACTAAAACAGCTAAAGATGCTCCTCAACCCACTGCCTCAAAACTGAAGGTGGAGAAAACACAGAAAACTACTGTAGCCAAAAATGTGCAGGAGGCTTCATCAACAGTTGAGGCAACATCAGGCGAATCCTCTGTGTCTGCTGTTCCTACTGAAGCAGCAAAAGAAAAGCCCAAGGAAGAGGTGTTTATTAAGATCTCTAAGGAAACCACATCCACAGTTGCATATACTAGCAAAATTGCTAAAGATGCTCCTCGACCTACTCCCTTAGAACAAAAGGTGGAGAAAACACAGCAAACCTTGGTGACAAAAAATGTGCCAGCTGTTTCATCAGCAGTGGAGACAACTGCAGTGAAATCCTCTGTCTTTACTGAAGCAGTCAAAGAAAAGCCCAAGGAAGAAGTGTGTGTCAAGGTCACGTCCAAAACAGACAAGGATAGCAAATCAGATAAGGATGCTTCTCATCCTATTCCTTTGAAACCAAAAGTGGAGAAAACGCAGAAAACCACAAAGACAAAAAATGTGCAGGATATACCAACTGTGGAGGCAACAGCAGTGCAGTCCACTATATTTCCTGTCTTTGCTGAAGCAACTGAAGAAAAGCCTAAGGAAAAAGTGGAGACCACACCCAAAGGTGACAGCAAAATAGATAAGGATGCTACTTGTCCTACTCTGTCAAAATCAAAGGTGGAGAAAACGCAGCAAGCCCCAGTGACCAAAAATTTGCAGGATGTGGTAACTGTTTCATCAGCAGTGGAGACAACTGCAGTGAAATCCTCTGTCTCTGCTAAAGCAGTCGAAGAAAAGCCCAAGGAAGAAATGTGTGTCAGTGTCTCCCAGGAAACCACACCCAAAGGCGATGGCAATATAGATAAGGATGCTTCTCATCTTATTGCATCAAAACCAAAAGCGGAGAAAACACAGAAAACCACAAAGGCCAAAAATGTGCAGGATATAACAACCATTTTATCAACAGCAGTGCAATCCTCTGAAGGTTCTGTCTCCGCTGAAGCAGTCAAAGAAAAGCCAAAAGAAGACGTCTTTATGAAAGTCTCCCAGGAAATTGTATTCACAGTAACTGATGATAGTAAAATGACTAAGGATGCTCCTCATCCTACTCCGTCAAAACCAAAGGTGGAGGAAACCCAGAAAACTAAAAATATGCAGGATGTGGCAGCTGCTGCTTCTTCAGCAGTAGAGACAACTGATGCTAAATCCTCTGTCTCTACTGAAGCAGTCAAAGAAAAGCCCAAGGAAGAAGTGTGTGTCAGTGTCTCTCAAGAAACCACATCCAAAGGTGATAGCAAAGAGGATAAGGATGCTCCTCGTCCATCAAAACCAAAAGTGGAAAAAATGCAAAAAAACACAAGGACCAAAAATGTGCAGGTTATACCAACCATTTTATCAACAGCAGTGCAATCCTCTGCAGTTTCTGTCTCTACTGAAGCAGTCAAAGAAACGACTAAGAAAGATGTGTGTATTAATGTCTCTGTAGAAACCACACCCACAATCGATAGCAAAATGCATAAGGATGCTCCTCATCCTTATTCATCAAAACCAAAAGTGGAGAAAGCACAGAAAACCATGCTGACCAAAAATGTGCAAGAACAACCAATCAAGACAGACGTTACAAATCAGACCTCCATTGCACCGCATGATGTGCCTGCTGTTCATGTCGATGAGACGAAGTCAACTACCTCCATTAGCACCCAGCTGCCTGTCAAATCTCTAGAATCAGCAGCACCACCTCTCCCTAAGAAGGAAGATTTGTCAAAACACATCGCTGAAAAGAAATCAGAGATTAATCTGCCACTGCAGGTCTCTGTAGAGAAGACAGCATCTAGCACTGATTTGCAAATGATTGACAAACAACAGAAAGCACTTGGTTCCCAAAAAACAAAGGATGTCCAAGGAGCACCTAAAGATGACAACACTCGTCCTTTGAAAGTTCATGAAAAGGTGGAGATTCCTTGTGCCATTTCTACAGCTGAGGTCAAGGCAGAGGTTAAAGGTCGCAAGCCTTATCTCAGCCCTGAATTTCAGTCCCCGTCTACAGCTGCTGAAGTAAAGATGACCACAGCTGACTCCAGCAAGACTGCAGAAGTCCAAGCGCAAACACCTAAGAAATTGGAATCTGATACAGATTCTGATTCTGTATTACCAGCAAAACTGACTGAGGAGCCTGTAGTCACTACAGCTGCAAAAGACGGAGATACAGAGGATGCCCCAAAGCCTTCGAAAGGAAAGAAGAAAAAGAAGAATTCTGCAAACAAAACTTCAGCTGGAAAACTAGTCCCACCGCCTATAGCTGAGACAAAGGTAAAAGAGCTAAAGACCGAGAATGCTGGTCAGGTTGACCTTCTAATGATCGAGGGCCCAACAAATGATTCTGCAAAGACATCCCCTGAGGGAATGCACGCTGTGGAGAGCGTGCAGCCAACAGCTGTACAGAATGAGGCCCCGGCTCACAAAGGGGAGGTGGAGCCTGCACAGCCCTTGCCTGAAAAACGGGAGGTTCTGAAAGGAAAAACATCCTCCTCGCAGAGACAGTGGGAAGCACCAGCAGCCTCAGCGTCAGCAGCAGCCTCTGCCCAGCTCAGCCCCCTCCCCGAGCAGGGGGAACCTCCCAGAGTTGCACAACACACGCCTGTTCCTGACACACAGCAGAGCTCAGAGAAGCAGAGCAGACTTTCGGATAGCAAGGCCCCTGCACAGCCTATCATCTCTGACCCTCTTCCTGCCGACGAGAACACCTGCGACGCGCAAGAGCAGTCCGTAGACGACGCCATGCGGAAGAAGATCGTTGTGGTAGAGGAAGTGATTGAAGTGCAACAGATTGCTAGTCCTGTTGCAGACCAACCTGTTACACCCCAAGTGCCAGAGATCGCAGGAGATGAATTGGACTACGATGTCTTGGAAGAACTGGCCATAGAGCGTGGCCTCCTGCAGGGTGCCGTTGAAGAGATTTGCTGGGATCATTCACTCCAAGAGCCCGAGGAGAAATCCTTCCCCAAATTCATAGAAGGTATGAGTCCTTTTCATGAGTCTTTCTTTAACGTGCTTTGATGTTGGTTGCACTGCTCCGGTTTCCATCCCGTATTTGCTGTGTGGGAGGTTCAAGGTGACTGGTGTGGTGTCGGAATAGTTGTGCTGTTATTAGATGGTTGGGCATGCTTTGCTTGAGAGGCGTGTAACTTTATATGCGTGTTGAGTGAACGGTGCCTGAGCTTTATGTTAAGTGAATTAAGCATTAATAAGTAGGTTTTGCAGAGAAGCTTATACTGCAGTGTAACTTGTATCAAAAAATGTGGAGCTTTTTTCAAAACATGTTTTGTCTATGCAACAATGTGCATTTTTTTATAAGTGCTATTTTTCAGCTTGTCCTGTTTGTCACTGCTGCTTTCCACAAGCACAAATCTGGGTATATTTGTTCCAGTTATTTCGAGAAATTAACCTCTCGCAGTGATTCATGCCACATCCACACCCAAAACATCAAATTATGCGTGCAAAGTTTCGCAACCACCCTTTTGCTCTGTAGCATATTGGGACTGGCTAGTGATTCTGTTGCAAGTTTTCATTCTTTTCAGGGGGAATCCCAGACTGCTGGTAATGAGCAGTTAAGCAGCACTGTGTTTCTGACAATACAACAATGTTTGGAGTCAGCTCTCCACTCCCTGCTGCCAAACACAAACCACAGCTATAGTTTTTCAGTTCTCTGAAAAAGAGCTCCTCTAAAAAGCAATGCTGTGCTTAGAGGACCCTGTGTGCCACTTCTGCAGGAAGCACATGTGTTCGGTTATTTCCTCTGGTTTGTTACCCCTTGTCTCTGGTTTCCAGTGGTCAACAATTAGTTGGAGACTTCTGCTTTGTCACTTTGTTTATTATGTAATTGGACATACCACAGATACAGCTGTCCATCCCAAATTCCACCATTGTCTTCCTCCCCTAGTGCAACAGAGATCTCTGGAATGTGTGTTGCAGTTGCTTTTGTTGTTTTTATAGCTGTGCATTTCAGTTTATGCTGGTATAAATGCAAAGACATTTAAAGAAACTACTGGAACAATCTACTATTTGTAGAGTTAGTGAATCTGGGTATATAAATTAAGAAACGACAGCAAGTAGTTAAAGAGTTTGCACAATCTAATGGGTGTGTTCAGTAGGTGTATCCAAAAACAATTAGCCTTTTGTTGAAAGGTTTTGTGAGTCACTTCAGCATGGCAGGTCTTTTGAGAAGCCACATTTCCCATATTCCAACCAAATGCAATTGGATTTGAAGAGGAAAAAGAATTTATACAATATTATGCTCAGACTAACTAACTCGAGTCAGATGTGTTTGAGGTTTCATCTCTGTAATTTTCTGCTGCCCCCTACTGTATCTCTACAGATCTGTCTCTCTCCATCACCTTCAGCAGATCTTTTCAATAGAAGCTCAGTCATGTGGTGTTAAGTGAAATTTCAGCCTGCGGCTAGGACGGAAATTTTTTTTTATACCTAGTACCTTTTTGTTCTTCTGTAATGGCTTAGAAGCGATGCTTTATTCATTAGTACTCCTTGAGTAATACATTGGACATGTATGAGCAGAAGTTTGAGATCTCCTTTGGCACTGTTCTCTGTTCAAGCAACAGTGTGTTGTGCAAGTGTGTGTTTCTGTCCGCCTCCACAATAAATTCCTGCATGTTTGTGATGTTGTGACAGGCGCTTTCTGATGTTCTCAATGCCACATGATTGTGGTGCAGTTCATGAGTCATGCAGTCAGTTCAGAGGAGCCAAATGAATCTGACCTTTAAGAAGTCTTATCGGACACATTCTAGCAGTGTCTGGTGCTGTGACTCCTATAACTGGCCCTTCACCTCTTGTGAATGGAGACCTTTTGTAGAGATGGGTCTATATTCTTGATATAGATTAAATTCAGGCTAATTGTCATACTTTTGACTCAAGTGAAATTTTCTCAGAGTATAGGGTTATATTTGAAAGTATGATATTGGATTTTTTGTACACATAATGTTTAAAGTAGTCCTAAAACCTGGTTAACATGCAACCCATGATATCGCTGGCTAAGGAATCCACACATTCTTATTAATCTTGTTTACATTTATAAATATTAATTCTTAATTCTTAATGTATCAGAATGTAAAAATATGTTACTCTTAATGTAAAAAGTGTATTAGAAATAGCATAGACCTGTCCAAAAACCTTTTTTACAGCTTTTTTTACAGTTGTGCAATTGTACTTTTGACTCAATATTATAGTTATTATTATACCACGAATAGTTTCATCGTGTGACAACTAGCCCCGTCTCCCCTACATCTTCTTTCTTGTTTAATATTTATGAGGTGTCAATGGATGGGCTAAAGTCTTATCGGACACATTCTAGCAGTGTCTGGTGCTGTGACTCCTATAACTGGCCCTTCACCTCTTGTGAACGGAGACCTTTTGTAGAGATGGGTCTATATTCTTGATATAGATTAAATTCAGGCTAGTTGTCATACTTTTGACTCAAGTGAAATTTTCTCAGAGTATAGGGTTATATTTGAAAGTATGATATTGGATTTTTTTGTACACATAATGCTTAAAGTTTTAACATCCTAAAACCTGGTTAACATGCGACCCATGATATCGCTGGCTAAGGAATCCACACATTCTTATTAATCTTGTTTACATTTATAAATATTAATTCTTAATTCTTAATGTATCAGAATGTAAAAATATGTTACTCTTAATGTAAAAAGTGTATTAGAAATAGCATTGACCTGTCCAAAAACCTTTTTTACAGCTTTTTTCCAGTTGTGCAATTGTACTTTTGACTCTCAATATTATAGTTATTATTATACCACGAATAGTTTCATCGTGTGACAACTAGCCCCGTCTCCCCTACATCTTCTTTCTTGTTTAATATTTATGAGGTGTCAATGGATGGGCTACTCTAACACCTGGTAGGATTATGGCCTTATAGCTGTCAGCTAATGTTGACATGCATGCATGTATAAAACGGGTTGCTCTGTCTTTACTGGTGCTTTATACTGTCTTACCTAAACCAAGAGATTATGCACTGGCTCGGAGATAATACACCCATTAAACTATATTAATATGTCAACTTTCTAAATTAGGAAACTAAGCAAGAGATCTGATAAATAGTCTACTTTTCACAAAAAATGTAATGGTCCCAGACCTAGCCATATCAGTAAACCATCAGTGCTTCTACAGACAGAAATATGTAAAAGATGTATGATACATTCCATAAATAGGAGTGTGTAAATTTACTCTACAGTTATCATGTCACGGGTACACGCTGAAATCTTCACCAATCCCAACTTTTTTACAGCTTTTTTTACAGTTGTGCAATTGTACTTTTGACTCAATATTATAGTTATTATTATACCACGAATAGTTTCATCGTGTGACAACTAGCCCCGTCTCCCCTACATCTTCTTTCTTGTTTAATATTTATGAGGTGTCAATGGATGGGCTACTCTAACACCTGGTAGGATTATGGCCTTATAGCTGTCAGCTAATGTTGACATGCATGCATGTATAAAACGGGTTGCTCTGTCTTTACTGGTGCTTTATACTGTCTTACCTAAACCAAGAGATTATGCACTGGCTCGGAGATAATACACCCATTAAACTATATTAATATGTCAACTTTCTGAATTAGGAAACTAAGCAAGAGATCTGATAAATAGTCTACTTTTCACGAAAAATGTAATGGTCCCAAGACCTAACCATATCAGTAAACCATCAGTGCTTCTACAGACAGAAATATGTAAAAGATGTATGATACATTCCTCTGAAATAACAGTTTTGATGTCACAGAGTCTTTTCTGTCAACACCCCCAGGGGAATGTATAATGACACACAAGAACATATAGTTTTCACAGAGGAACTGATTTTCCTCTATGCTGTGAGAGTTGTCATTTTTTGTTATGTTGGTTCCCTGGCTCATACAGATGAGTGTTTTGACTCATAAAGTGACTCATAAAAGTAAATCCTACAACTCTTTTTTTCAGTGTACAACAGGGGTCTCTTACTTTGTGCTACTGACACCTGCTGGTGTGGATGAAACATCATGGAAATTAGTTGCCATGATTAATTATTTATTTATTTATTGACTGACAATAAGAGGTCATCGCATAATAAAGTAGAATTTGATTGGTCAAAAAAATAAGTAGCTTAAAAACTTCTGAATGCATCACTAGTCTATCATGTACATGCTAAATCAAGATGATTCATTTCAGTGTACATTAATTAAGCAGGAAAGCTGACCCACTCTTTTTTAGACCTATTTATAATGTATTAAACAGCCTCAGTGGAGTCAGACTGGGCCTGATTACTAGTTTTGATCAGTCAGTGCTCATCTCATTTTCTAGATAGTTCACATGCCAAGTCCTGCAAATTAGACACATACAAATACTTCATTTAATCACAGTCATAAGCGCTGTAAACATGTGGGGGAAATGAAATTGACACTCTGTCAACACCGTAATTCACAATACCATATGCTAATTTCAGTGGACTGCTGTGTAAAACTCTACTATATTTAGTTTATGTCCTGCTTCATGGGTGGCCACTAAAGGCTTGTGATATGGCACAAGAGATTTCCAGTCATGCCAGGAATCCCATTCCATATATAAATGAAAAAAAACATGAACCCTGGCACTCATGTGCTTTTCCAAGTGTGAAAAGGAGTACACTTTACTTTAGCATACTTCTTAAAAAGTATTTATTATGGAAATAATATGCTTTTAAAAATATACTTAAAGGAACACTCCACTTTGTTAACTCTAGGGGAGTTGGAAAATGAGCCTATTTTCAAAAAAAAGTGGAGTGTTCCTTTAAGTGCGAACTGAATATAGTGTTTTTGGACAATTAAATGTACGTTATTTGCAATTGAAATAAAATATATTGTCATTTAAATGTATGTTAAATGCAATTAGTTGAACTTTGGAGTGTTTTTGACCAACATATATAGGACCTTTAAGTACATTTTTATATGTAATTTCATAATTACGTCTATGGTCTTTGAAA